CATTAATAATATTCTTTCTAATTTAATTTTTTCGTTTAATTTTGTTTTTTTTTTTTTTTTTTTCTTTTATAATTTTATCCACAATCGTTCGATCCCCCTTTTTTTTTACTTACATCACTACACCGTATATGGAGCTATACTGTATAATGAAAGCTGTCTTCAATTGATGATATCGTTTTACTAAGCCTCGATCAACTTGTTTCTTTCTTCTAAAACTTTTTTAACAGTTTCAAGCAGTTTCAACTATTAGAGTAGAAATCGGTTATCGTACAATGCTCAGAAAAAGCTCGTAAGCTACTAATGGAAGCACTTTGTGCCTGTTCGGCTATGTACATCAATTACATTTCGGAATAAATATAAAATTCCAATTAATAGCAAAATAAATCTGATTTAAATGACAAAACTTATAACTTTTTTTTCTTCTTAACAAAAATCACTTAAAATTTTTATATAGTTGTAATTAAATATATATTTGCTATTTTTTCATCATTGCATCTGTAAAATTTAATTTTATTATTTTGTTATATTTTTTTAATAACAAATCAATGATCAAAAATCGACTATGTATGTAGAAAATTCTCTAATTGTTTCAATCAATGGATTAGCGTTCATTTATTAGCCATATGACTATAGATTATAAATTTCTTTATAGATACATGTAATGGCCACGTTAGAAATCAAGAGAGTGCTGTATACTAACACTTGACATCGATATAGTTTATTAAAAAATTCTGAATTCATTGCAAATGAATAATATTTCCCTTTTTTTTTTTTTTAAATTCTTGAATTTAAATAACACTTATTGATCTCATCTTAACATATTTTATAAATCTATAGAATATAATTAAATACACAAAAATAGTTTCTATTACAGCTATAAAAAAAAAATAAAAGTACAATAGCGATCATTTTTAAATAGATTAAAAGAATAGTAAAAGAAATGTGAAAATTATTGCTAATCGTTTTCTTAGGCAATTACATTTCTATATGTTTAAATGATTATTTAAAAAATGCTTGCTTTTTTTAGAATAGCACTTCGAAGGCAGTCAAAGATCTGAGAAGCATATTTGAACAATGTTGAGAATGTGATGGACGGAACGCTTGGAAATAATTAAAGAACAATCGAAGACAAGTTATAGGAAGAGCATATATATATATACATGATTAATTATCATGAAATTTAAAACAATTTCCATTGATTTTTTAATTAAAAATTACATCTTGCTAAGTATTCAGCACTCGCGATCTGGAGGACACTGTCAGTAAAACGCAACCAATCATATGCAGACAGCGAATGTATGAACACTTACATCCCTAAGATGGCATGTGTCGAGGAGCTTTAGACTTTTTTTTCTCTGTTGTTACGAGAGTGTTATTATTAATCATATTCTTCTTCATTTTTTCCTCTTGTTTTCTTCTTGGACAATCGCACTAATGTTATTTTCCTTTATTTCTAATAGTCCTTGTATATTGTATATGTACAGCAGTACCACATTTGTTCAACTGCGATACACGCATTTTTTTAAAGACGACACTTAGAGTTTAAAAATATAATCATCATATATTTAAAGTAGCATTATATTATCATTGTTGTTGTTATCGTTATTAGTCGTAATAGTATTATTATTAATAATAATATTATTGTTATTATTATTATTATTATTATTATTATTATTATTATTATTATTATTATTATTATCTTGGAGGGATAGCACTTCGCTATGTCACGACACTGCAGAGCTGAACAAAGACTAAACGCGGAAGTTACCACGCTCTTTAATGGCACGAAGAGTACAAGACTGAGATTGTTACCATCTTATTGACCGATCATCATAATCATCTATTAATTATCATGATTTTTTGAGAGTTAGATTTTTCTTTCCTTTTTTGATAGTTGGCGATCGATCACAAAAACATATCTCGTCTATTTTAATGTAGTAGCACAATATCATCATAGTTTATTTTAATTAGGAAGGGTTGAGAACGACCGTTCATTGTCGTTATTAAGATTTCTATATTATACATAGTCTCATATGGACGATTTCGATAACGCTATAGAAAGTACTAAGTATATACAGAAATATTTTTATTTCTGTCAGAACTATTCAAAAGTTAAGTTAACTGTATGAGGCTCGTTGAACCAATAAATAGTCAGACGATGATCTTTATTTTTTACTTAAAATACTATTAGTCTTCCGTTCATAAATCCGTCCAGAATTTATAAAATAAATGTAATTAATAAAAATTGTTATTTTCTTTTTTTTTTTTTGTAGAAATTATGGTTTGTAATCATGTACTGCTCTTGTTCAGTTTTTTTTTTATTATTGTTAAACATTGAAAGACGTTTGCTGTAAAGTCAAGAAAACGCATTTCGAAAGAAATAAAGTCTTGATATAAAAATATATAAACATTAACGTTGAGTTTTTTGTTGTCACCTTAGATTTAACTTTTTTTTTTTTTTTTTATCATTAAATGAGTGAAACATTTGTTCATACTCTACACCATAGAAAAGAATGTACATATTACAGGCAAATATATTTGTTACGACCTCTAACGATCTCTCATAGCGTAAATATTTATGTTCTTTTCGAAAAATAATTTGTTGTTCCTACAAATTATTGATATAAGAACCACGCTTTAATTAATTAAACGATGTTCAACAAATATTGTAGATCTATAGTTTAATAAATGATACAAATGATAACTTATACTACACATGTAGTATTTTCATTCGTTATCCTAAACTATATTATGCAAATTAACAATCGTTAAGAAGAAACAATCGCGAGAAACAAAAAACTATTTTAGGGGAAAAACTGCTACAATGTAGCTTATTTATCAACGACTCAATAAAACTGATTAAATAACAATCCTAAGTTTCGTTATATTCAAAATTTGCCTTCTAAATCGATTAATGAATCTCTTTCATATCATGATCATATTGTTCTTACGGACAATATATGTGGGAGAAAAAGAAAAGGAAAAAAGAAGAGAACATATTTCATAATCGAATTATACAATATTTCTTTTCAATCTTTCTCGGACCGTAGTTAATAATATGAATAATGACGCTTAAAAACGCTAAGATGCTCCATGGATAGAAAAGGAGATCAAAACTATCGGATCCGATAAGAGAGCGTGATAACCTCGACCAATAATACCCTTGATTTTCGCGAGAATAATTACGTATTTGACAGTTAAAGCGAAATCTATTCTCGAATACCTTAATACTGTAATGAGCAACTGGATTTGAAGGTACCGTAAAGAGGTTGATGTTTCGATGATCGACAGAGGTCAGTGAAGATCATCTTCATCGCTATCATTACCATCTTTCGATCTATCGGCACCTCCCTCACCGTCGCTGGAGCCTGAATCGCTCCCAGAGTCTTCAGATTGCCAGCCGCCTCCTTGCTGTTGTTGTACGTGTTGATGTTGTACCACGTGCTTTGACACTTTGTGACGTTTTCCAGCACGTTGCACCGAATCTGCCCCGGCACCATCGAGCATTGGCTGAAGAATTCGTCGACGAGCATTGATGAACCAGTTGTTAACTTGTAATAACGTTAAGTTCGTTTGACTTGCAATTTGACGTTTCTCATCCTCCGTGGGATATGGGTGCTATATGGAATAATGAATGTAAATATATTTTTTTTTTATTTTATTCTACAATGTAACAGAAGTAACTAGTATAGCACAATTTGGTTATTATTAGTTGGGGGAGATATAATACAATCATAAATTGAATTAATGATTAAATAAAAATTATACTTACAACTAAATGTTCAAAAAGCCAAGTTCGCATAATGCTCGTAGCTTGTTTAGGTAAGACACCTCGTTTTTGTCTTCCTTTTTTAACGCTACTATGATTACCTCCATGACTACTACTGTGATTGGAAGTAGCAGTACCAGTGCCACATACTTCGTCTTCGTCTTCGCTTGGTGCAGGTGAAGGAGAACCCGCCACAGTGATATCTAAGCATAATAAACACGATATATTTATTATGGTAAAAGAACGTATTTCACACAAAAATGATATTTCTCTCATTAATTTCAGATTATTAGTTTAATTCACATTTTTAATTAGTAATTAATATTCAAGTGAAAACATTAGTCATTGGTAAGGAAGAACCAAGTTCATCTAACCAAAATACTTTTCATCATTCGCATCTCCGACATCGACGTATTCATTTTCACGCTCTTGTAAAGCAAGAAGGCCCCAATAGCCAGCCTCTTCTAAATATATTCTGTCGCCAATATTCACATAGTCCATATCATCTATAATCGTAAGTTGATAATTCTTACGTTTAAATCAACATCTTTAATTTTCTTTTTTAAACTCAACAATTTTTGGCGTTACAATCAAAAATATTATTCAAAAATGTTACAATTAATTATCAAATAATCTGTACTGAAACCTTTTTCTGAAGCGTTCCTAATTGTAAAATCTTATTTCAACAAATTATGCAAAATAATTAAAGGAATTTCCAATCATCCAACATCTAATGTAAGATCAAGAATAATTCCAAACACTGAAGAAAGAATAAAGAAAAAATTAATAAAAAGAAGCAACAGTTTAAAAAAAAATTACTCATTAATTGTAAAAAATCAAAAGTATTAACAAACCTACCTTGACCAAGATACATATCGTTGACTGGCGCACAGGAATGAGCACCGATCTGCGAAAGGGGTGTACTTCCATGCACCGTGGAAGGTGATAGAGGATCGTCATGGTCTTGACTGGAGGATCTGTTCGAGCGTTGAGCAGTGGAAGATGATCGCACCGACGACGGCCTGTCGTTACCGGTTTCCTCTTGCGCAGCCAACTGACTCGCACCACCGTTCTCCGACAGGATATCACCTCTGCTCACTCTGAATCCGTTAGCTCCCGACTCAACATCATTGCCTGTAGAAGACAGCACCTGGGAAATATATGTCGCAACTAGCCGTCAGAGAGCAGGGGTGGGGTTCTATAATATTTTGAGCGATGCGCAAGTATCACTCACATTTTTTCTTCTTTTAAAATAATTATTTTAAAAGTAAATATTTTAAAATTAATTGTTTGATCCAAGTACATGTTAGAATTGTTTTGATTAATGATTTATATATATAAATATAAATCACTTAGAAACATACAATTCAACTGTTCTTATCTAAAGAATTAACATGCTGTTAATTTTTTGAAATAATTTAATGAAATTTTAAAGAGAGACAGAAAAGAGTTGGGAAACATTTAATCTTTTACATAGATATTGAACAATTTCAGAATTTCATTCATAAAGGATCTATTATATATGGCATATAACAGTTATATATTTACACAAATACTAATATATATGAACTAAATATTTTTTTTTATTATTTGTTATCATTAAAGTCATTAAAATTTCCCCCTCAATCAATACTTTATTAACTACCATTAAACACAAAACTTAGATCAGAGTAAATTACAAGAGTTAATCATTCAAGCAATATTTTTATTTTTATTTTATAACTTGATACTCCATCTTGTTATTTTAAAAATATAACTTCTATACAAGGTAGTAATGTTAATAAAAAGAAAACTTAGATTTAGTTACAGTTTCAACTTAAAGAATTAAAACAAGAGGCAAAGATAGCGTTCCGAGATTATATTCGCGATTCTTGCGCATTACTAAAAAAAAGGATAACTACTTAGGTAAAGGGGGAAACAGGCTAGGCCGTTTTACATGTTCAAAATAATATCTAACCTGCAAAGGACTGCTCCCGTTGCTGCCACTCGATGGACCCATGTCGTGTCCATGGTGACTGTAATCGCTGCGTAGCAGATTCTCGCTTTGCATCTTGCCCTTCAGGCATGTGATGTATCTGTTGCAAAAGTCCTTGCACAGTTCCTGCACCTTTTCCAGTTCGAGTAGATGAATTCGTAGCACCTGTATCGCCTTGATCATCTACGTTGGCAGGGGCACAAAACAATATAGACGAGTGAACGATTTTCTTTTCATATCGAACTGCGTAGCATCGCTTATTATCTTTTCTTTGTTTTGCAAAAAAAATTCGATTCTTTTTTTTAAATTTAAACAATTTTCTTAACGTCTAGAGATTTAACTTTAAAAAATTTTAAATTTTTGCACATAATTCTGAATTCTGGATGTATATATAATAAATTTTTTTTTCCAGAAATATAAATACAAATAAATAAATATATATATATATATATACATATATATAAACATATGTAATAAATTGAGTTTTTTAACGATAAACAATTTGTTATTAATATTTTAATATCTAATGATCCTTTTACTCTATTTTCTATCTTTCTTTTAAAAAACTTTACTATCATTATTGCTTTATATTCAATTTTCAAAAAAATTTCATTGAATTATACAAGTTACAATACAAATACAAATTATAATTAAATATTTTAAAATTAAATTATTTAAGAGACTCACTAAACCGTCAATTTCGGGGTCATTGATCAGAAATGGCTTTCGGTCTCTTTCTTGGTGTTGGACGAAGGCCTGTATGTCCATGTTGAAACTTTCGGACGTTGAATTGTCCGAGCTCTGAGTAGCTTGTTCGCATCTTTCGAAAAGTAACGCGAGCAATGGAAAGAGGGGATGTTTGTACACTGCCCTCTTGTCTGCTTCAAATTGAGCTTGATCTTGATGAGTTGTGTAATCGGCAACCCCACTTGCAGGGTCCTGATCGTAGCCAGGAGTCACCATTGCTAGCGCCACGGCGGTGCTACCCTCTTGCATTCTGCATTAATATGATCAAATTATTATCTTTTTCTTTCCGTTGTCAAAATTAAATTTTTCTACATAGAAAACTTCATAGAACTTGTATACCTATCATTCCTGTCTAGCAGCTTCCATCGTTGCTCAGCTCCTCCGAAATCTCTTATATTTGAATTCTTGAGCTCTTCGATTTATTTTCGATCTTCCGGTAATTTACAAAATTATACTAAAACAAGAAAGAAATGAAAAATATTAAATCCATTATCGTGTGTATATAAGATTAAATTTGGAAATAAAATATATTATAAAAATAATAGGATAAAAATATCGTATATTTTATAAAATATTCTTGCGTATTTCGAGTAGAGATGAGCCAGAGAGCAAAGGGAAAAAAGAAAGACGGGGAAGGAGGGAATCGCCGTGGCACGAAGAACCAAACGATGCGCGGCACTGCATTTAAATGTCATCGTTAGACGGTCTCAACACCATCAGCACTGTTGCTGGCACTAGTTCTGCTTCCCATTCCGAACGTTCCTTTTGAATTTCCCCCAATCCCCATACACGTTCCCTCGGTATGAATAAATAAAATACTGCAACATACCACAGGCTGACAAGACGATAGTCGAAAAATCGTAGTTACGAGCAATGCGAGGGAAAAAAGAAATGCTAATAATTGAATTAGGGCAATATAATTGTCCGGATCAATTTTTACTGTAAAAAGTCATGGTAATGTTATATCGTTTTTATATATATATTGTCTTATTCAAAGAAATTTTCGAAAGATAATCTTTTTTTTTTTCCTTTCTAAGAAAAATATTTTGAGAAAGTCATATCTATGGATTTTATAGCAGAAACAGTAATTATTTTAAGATAAGATTAATTATATGTTATATAAAATGATACTGAAATTATACTTTATATAATAAAACTAATATATATTATATTTGTAATAATTTTTGTTTGTAGTTTAAGAAGTATGTAAAAAAAAATTGTTTTAATTTTTTTTAACAAAGGAAAAATAAATTTTCTATTTATAGACAACAATTATAGACAATAATAGAAAATATATAATAAAAACAAAAAATTAAGTATTTTTTTATATGCACTTTAGTGTTACACAAAGATATATAACATTTATTTTATAAAAATTTACTCAATATACAATTTTTAAATCAAAAACTAATAAAAAAAAATACGCAAAGAATATACACAACAGAAGAATTGCATTCTTCTTCAAATAAGAAAAAAAATCGTACTCGTGACATTTTATCAAAACTTCTTGTGATGGAATAGTGTAGCAGAAGATGAGTGAGCGAAAGTATCGATATACAAGAAGAGTTAGATATATTAAAGGGAATACCACGAGGTGGCGTCTGAAGCGATAGAAAAAGGAGCTGGACAGAGGTACCATTACTTGCAAGTGGTGCTTTGAACACACTCGCGTCTTTCCGTTAAACCCGATATTTATTGTGCCAGTCGCCTCTCTCATCGCTTTCATTTAAAAATATTATCGCTGACGGTGAATGGTCAGTATGGTTCATTTCCACGACAGTATCTACACATCGAAACAGCCTTAACGCATTTAAACTTGTTTTTTCCTTTCCTTCTTTATATGTTTTTTCTATTTCATTCATATAACGAATTTGAACTTTTATTTAAATGTTTATAATAATTATAATTTTTTTATAGATATATATTTATACTATTATTGCTATTACTAGAAAATAAAATATTATTATTCTTTTAAATATTTTCCATGGTAATAATATTGTGTTCTGCCAACCGTATTTATCGTTCATCAAGAATTTTAACTATCGTTTTGTTACTTCTTTAATTAATTTTTTAATTATTTTAATTTTATACTTGAATATTAAAGGAATATATACATTAATAATTAGTAAAATTATTTCTTATATTGCAAGAAATAAACAGCTATCAACATTTTATTAAAAAATTGAATTAATCAAATGTCATTAAAAAAAAAATTTTAACAAACAAAACTAAACATCAGCTAAAAAAAATATTTCAAGTAATCTTCTATCAAATATCTGAAATATTGTGAATAAAAGTGATTCGATTGTTGATTGTTATATTATTTTTTCATATTACATATATATGTATATTTTATATTCTATACATTATAACTGAATAATAAGATTTAATGTTTTTATTTATGCTACCAAATCTTAGTTATCTTTTATATTAATACAAAATTTGTAGAAATTAAAAATATATATTATAAATTTATTTAATATAATTTTTAATATAAGAAGAATTTACTTTAAATATAAATAAATATTTTTTTTTATACTTTTTGCAAAAATTTAAAAAATTCAGAAAATTTCTAAAAATAATTTATTATTTATAATTATTAATTAATATCGATAAAATTAAAAGCTAATAAATATTAAATATGAAATACAATATGATGTATATAAATAATATATATAAAAAAATATTAATGAATAACGCAAAATAAAAAGTACAATAAGAAATGAAAGTATATTTTTTGATTGAAATATCAATAAAAAAAAATCGAGTAAGAATTTAAAACCATTTTGAAGTCACGTGTTATGAATCAAAATGAGACCGTTATTAATTCAAATGAAATGGATTGGCGGAAACTACGTAATGGCGTACATGTATTTTGCTCACGCGATTTGCTGTATAACTCGTTCAACGTGTTGATTTTTTGTACCGACCTAATAATTACTGTGACACTAAAGCTATAAGTAACATATAATTAGAAGTAATCAAAGAATGAAAGATTATAATTTAACCTGGTAAAGAAGCATGAAATTGACGTGTTAATTTGTTAAAAGAATTTACTCTTATTTAAATATAATGACAAAAAAATAACAATAATTATTTAAAAATTGTTCTTCTTTCTTTTATTTATTTATTTTTTAATATTTTTGAAAAGTTAAATGTAAAATTTTAAGTAATGAAATAATATTGTTAAAATTATAAATGAATAAAAAAATAATTAAATAAAAAAATTTGGAAATTATGTATCTTAAAGTAACATTTCATCCCTATAGAACAAAGTAATGATATAGCAGCAATGAAACGTGCCTTTACGAGCGTAAATAAGAGGAGAAACAAATCTTTAACCCTTAAGTGCCAGAGCTATAGTAGTTGGTTAGAACATAGTGATCATTTTCGAACATAAGAGAATACTTAAATTCTATTAAGTATATACATCCGTGGCCAAATATTTGTATAAACTTATTTTACTGTTTCTCACTTTTGACATCTTAATTTGTAATATTATTATAATTTTTTATTACCACCATTAACCTATGAATTAAAATTAAAAAAAAAATAAATAATAAAAAATATATTTTCCACGAAAAAATTACTTTGAATCAAACAAAACCATGTTTATTCGTAAATATTTATACAACGCTAAATATTTATACTAATAGAGTACAAAACATTATTTTTAATTGGATTAAAAAAATATTTTTAATTAGAAAATTTATTTTAAAACTCATTTATATATACGTATATTAAGAACTTGTTTTTAAATACTAAATTTATATAATCTTATTTTTCTCCTTGTTTATTATATGTAGACATCAGAAAACATCGGCAAAAAACATTTCGTTATAAGAAACGTTTAACGTGCACACATACCGGTCTGGCACCGAAAGAGTTAATTATGACAAAGATGGTATCCCGTGGGCAAGCGGACTTGTTTACTACCTGTCAGTCATCGGCGTATTAAAACCGGCGTCGTGACGGGCAACAACACCGTGGTAGAAAGAGATGTGAGTTAAAGAACGGCACGGAATCGGTAGTGGGCGTTAATACGGAGCCAGAAGTCGTTTTTCTTTCTCCCTTTCATCGCGAGCCTAACACGAGATAGTCGAACTGTCAGTCAAACGTTCGATAACCAATGGTCGACGATCCCTACTACAGCACGCCGAGGAAGAATCATTTTCATGCGAAGAGGGCGTAGCAAAAACTACAAGAGGCCACCGCTGCCGACGGCGCCGATGCCTCACTGCTGCGCAACGCTCTACCTATAGGGTGCTCGATAAAATTTCTGCGGGAAATTCGACTTCGTTTTACTATTTCTTTCGTGGCATGTATTTTACAGAATTCTATAATTTATTATGGGAATATTGTTTAAACAAAATTCCTTATTGATGTATTTAATTTAATACGACATATAAAATGAAGTTGAAAATATTTTTATCATTTATTTTTTGTTATATGAAAATTCATTTTGACATTTGACATTTTGATATTTGAAAATGTAAAAAAATTTTACATCTATAAGAATATGTATATAAAATAAATAATATCGACAATATAATATAAAAGAAAAATTAATCAAATATTACATTTGTAATAAACTTTAATACATAAAATATTAAAATATAATTTGTTTATTTTAAAAAATGTATAAACGAACTAAAGATAATACAATTAGATAACGATATAAAATATTTTTTGATATTCAATAAATTCTTTAAAATACTAGTTTAACTTATTTTCTTATGTAAATATTAGTTTACAAAAGAAAAATCTGCACAATAATTTTTTAAGTAATTTTCTTCTTTTTTTTACAATTATATATTTAAGATAAAAATTTGAAACAAGTAAGTCTTGCACACATCACAAGTTGTTCTTGCGATGAAAGAGAAATTTACATTTATTTATTTTATTTTTAAAGTTTATAATAACTTTTATAAAGTAATCATAAATCAATCAACTTTATTCCTATAATCTTCACAATTGCTATGCAAAAAAAATTATTCCTTCGGAATTTTTATTTCTTTTATATTAAATGATAATTAAATTTTTTTTAATGTAAAAAAATTCACTACACATTTTTTTTCTTTTTTTAAAAATATATTATTATATATATTTAAAATTTATAATTATTATTTCATTCATTTGATTAAAAATTTATCAAATTAATATTGTTAATTCTTTAAAAGATATAATTAATCTATTGTATGTTTTTCGCTTAAGTAAAAATTGAATCACAATATTATAGTATAATTTGATTCAACGAATATATAGCACACGCTATAAGATAATGATGATACCTCATTGCAGCATCTTTGTCACTCTTTTTTTTCATAACAAATTCTTTGAACGATTTCAACCGGTTTTCTTAATACGATGTAAACACCGATTTTCTCGTTTCACCAGGAATACGCTTACGTTGCAAAGCTCGGAGTTTATCGTTTGACGTAATTCGCTTAGGACGAATTATTCCGTTCTAAATGGAAACGCAAACAGCTTGACTATGCAACATATCGCTATTACCAATATAAAGGTTAAATAGTTCAATAATAGTAACTGAATCAAATATCATTTATATTTATTTTTCTAAATATATTTTGATCTTCATTCTAGTTCTGTTATGATAATTATTATATATTTAAATAACGAAAATGTATGATAGTTAAGTTGATTTTCTTAAACAAATGTTTAATTTGTTGATGACTAATAATTGATTCGATTAAAAATATTTATAAGAAATATCATATAATAATAAAAATAATAATACATCTTCATGTTAAAATTCCCGCCTCTTATTTTACAATTGACAATATCAATAAACGATCTTAAACGATAATTGGCTAAATTTTTTTTAAAACGTGATGTTACGTATTAATTATATGAGTTATATAAATATATTCGTTGAATTCATTGTTAAATAATGAATTCTTTCAAAATAAATTCAATTACAATTTATTTAAATTATTGGTTATATAAATATGTTTTTGAAAACATAAATTTATGCAGCAATTGTTCATTGTATATTTCAAAACAATAAGAGAAAAGAAAGAAAGTATTTATAATATGCACTATTGCAACAGATAACGAATATCAACTGAGAACCAGTTGATAGTAGGCTTCAGTCGCATGGTGCGCATGATGTCATTTGAAAAAGTCGCTCTTTGAAAGACTCTTAACAATATCGATCGTATCAATCCGCAATTCTGTCAAGGCAGACCGCGAGGAATGGGCGTTCACTGGAGGGCATTGCGCACAAAACAAGTTTTTCGCTTGTATCGGCGCACCAGGAACGAATAAACGAACCTAACCTCACAATTCACAGGTGCACGGTCCAGCGGGAATTAGGTTGATCGAACGATGTATCGAAACAGCTGTTTGCATGACAGTATTCAAGAAAAGATTTATTTCTTAGCCACTTACCACGTACAAAAAAATCTCGTTCAGATAAAACTTACAGGAACAAAACAACACCGTCCACCACTTTTATTTTTCGAAGATATTTCGGTCGGCGTGTCTGACTAGTCGAAAACTAATTTCCTTTTCGTCCACGTGATACTTCCTGGCTCGATGATAATCGTATATCGATGCCGATCTAACGATCACACGCGCGTCAACACAAATCCTTCTGTTTACTACTATTCACGCCGTACAATAAATTAAAGTAATCGGACATTTTTCAACATGCTCCTCTACAATCCTGTCTACTCCTTCCACTGACACGTCTTTTATGACGTCATCGATTCAATACTTTTCGCGAAGGTTTCTCCTCTTCATTGATACACTAACTCCGCAGCAGATGGCGACACTAATGCGATTATCGGTTCATTCAAGTATCGCTCAAATTAAAGCGCGATATTTAAATTTATCGTGAAAAAAATTATATACACTAATTTATCGAATATACATACATCTCATATATTAATTTATAATTTCATTAATGACATTATTAAAATAAGAAAAGACAAAGAAATAATTATTAATAGTAATTATTCGTAATTACATTTACGAATATCGTTACAATTATTTTATGATAAAATGAAATAGTTCGTCTTTTACTTCAATTTTTCTTTTTACATATTGACAAAATAAAAATATTTTCTTTAACATTCAAAGAAAAAGTAATCAAAATACTCGATTATCTTTGTTAAATTAAAATTATAACGTGTATATAATAAAAATGAATTAGAAAAGCGAATTGAAAAAGGATTGAAGTGAAGATGAGTAACGATCAACGCTATCTTATCATTGGTTTTCTTATCAGAATACTTGGTTCGATATAGGAAAGGCTTCATATTCACAGTGTAAGATTCTACCGGTACGAATCTTGTGAGAAATCATGGATTACCGATTTTTAATTATTTTCATTTTTATCTTTGCGACAAATGTTAAGTGCCAAAAATCAACCAACGTTGAAGATATCAAAACCGCTGCTAATAATAACACAAAAGGAGAAATTGAAAATGTACAAGTAGAGGAGAAAGTACCTACGGTTAAACTTCCAAATTTGTGCACCATATGCAAATGTACAGGTAATTTATAACCAAATAATGCTCCAAATCGTATTGTTGATTATTAATCATCATATTTACATTAAAAAAAAAAAGAAAATAAATAAATTCGTTCGAAAAGGAAAAAAAAAAAAAAGAAAGAACGATCCTACGAATGTAAGCAATAATAATGTGCAGAAAAAAAAATCAATGTTTTCCTACCAGATGACATCATAGATTGCGATAAAAGAAATTTAACGTACCACTTCGAAGATTCTCAATGGCCAAACAAAACTCTAAAAGTGGTATCGTTCGAGGAGAATTCGTTGGTACACGTGAAACCGTTCCCGGCACTGGAGATCAGGAAATTAATATTGAAGAAGAACAAAATCACCAGGATCGATAATTGCGCCTTTAAGAAGATAATTAATCTGACCGAATTGGATCTAAGCCATAATCAACTTACCGCAGAAAATTTGCAACCTCAAGCATTTGAGGTAATACATTCGCTTTTTTTTTTTTTTTTTCTACAGTAATCAGTAATAATCTATGTTTGATCGTCTAATCGAAATTTTGATGACGATTATGGTACAATCTTTCATTACTCATTCGACCATTCGTCGACCAACGTTAATTCTTGAAAAATACAGCGACAAGATAAGTCAATTATCAATATTGATGTTGATCTGATATGTAATCTAATATTTTTTTATACGTATATCATAGTATTAACTTTAATTTGTCCAATTAAATTAAAAATATTTTAAAAATGATCTTGAATCACGTTTCACCGATTATAGCGAAAACTATATTGATATTTGGCTCAAAGAGGGGGGAGGATAATTTTTCTTAAAAATCATTACGTTATTTTTATCATTATCATTATCGAAACTTCAATATACAATTTACTTCAATAACGTGATACTTTTTAGGGTAAATTTTCATCGGATATTTACGAACCGTTGAAGAAGCTGGTAATTTTAAATTTGGCTCATAACATGCTTCATTCGTTGCATCACGATCTCTTCGAGCACATGACGAACCTGAAAGTATTGGATATTTCTGGAAATTTATTCTCAAATCTCGACAGCCGCACCATCATAGCGATCAGCTCTCTTCCGTTTTTGGAAGAGTTAAACTTGAGTTATTGCAGGCTAAAAACACTTCCGGACACATCGTTCTACACATGCAGGTGAAATATTATATTTCATATAATATACATTTACAATTTCACGACGGAACAACACGATACGTCAATAGAAATTGATTTTTGATTTCGAGTGATAAAGAGTTTTACGCGTGATAAGAAATACGCGTGATAAACTTTTACAAACAGTCTCTCTTGATATTTATTTTTATCTCGTGAAATAAAATACCTACTCACATATCACCGGTTATTCATCGAATCTAATTAAATTAACCGTCGATCAGGAATCTTAAAAAGCTGAACTTGAGCGGGAATCAGCTCGCAACTGCACCGAACGCTCTCAAAGAAGCGACGTCCCTCGAGAACCTCTACATGGACGAGAATCCGATTCAAATTATCGACAAGGAGCACTCGTTCCCAAATATGACTAAATTGAAAGAGTTAAGCCTGTGCTGCATGCCACATTTGACAATGGTTGGATCGGGTGCCTTCTCAGACTTGACATCGCTCGAGCATCTTCGAATACAAAATTGTCCAAAGTTGGAATCGATCCACGATTACGCCCTTGCATCATGGGTAATAATGTGTCAAACGATTGTCCATACCTTAACATAATATTATCCTTTTTTTCGTGGCCCAAGTAAAAAAGCTAGATGGATCGATAATGACTAAAAAAAAGATTGACCACTAATGATTTCATTCGAAATCTTTCTAACGTAGTAATAATTCAACCGTTTCTTGTTAACTTTATTATATGTTAGAAAATACTGTTCTTCAGAATTAAGAATTTCATTTGGATTATTATTAGAGAAAAAAAGAGAAAGATAGATAGATAGATAAGAATATATCTTAGAATTCATACAACATTATCGATTTTTTTTTTTTTTAGAGTTAAGATGAAGAAGAATTAAATAATAATAAAAAGAAAATGTTACAATATATTTACTATACGAAATTATCGTAGAATAATAACTCGGAAGGACCTGTGTGGCCGCCACTAAAGAGACTCGATTTATCGGATAACGCCCTGCGATATTTGCCCCAGCTATTGATATCAAGGTGGGATTGGCTCGAAAAATTGGATCTGACGAACAACAAATGGAGCTGCGATTGCAATAATGAATATCTGGTAAGTTCTGGCAAATCTACAATACGTATCGCCCCTACTATCAACCAGCGACACCAATTTCCGGATCGATCCAGTCGATTCTTTTTACACTCGATCCACCAGTCTCTTTCGAGTTTTAATTATAATATTTTAATTAAAAATACGAGATTGGAATTTCATTTTCAATCCTTGACAAACCAAACAATTCTTTATTGAATCGAAAATTATTTTTGTAATATCCTATTTCAAATCGAATTGAAAACAAAAGAATATTTTTTCCTTTTTTTAATATCGTCACGAAAGCTGCGATAGCTCGCTTCGCACATTTGATCTTTTTTTGTTTCGAAAACAAAAAAAACCTGAGAAAACTTTCAGCACATTCAGACTGAAAGTATTCAAAAATTACATTGACAATTTGATAATTCATTCCTAAATAGACATCACTCCTCCAACCGTCATATCTATTCGTCGAATCCAATCTTCCAAACGTATTTGTATCAAGGCCTCTTCCAACCAAAATTGTTCCCCCTCGTGAAATTGCATGAAATTACCGAACCAATTTATTACTCGGACTCATTTCCGACGTAATCCAAATTTCAAAAAACGACCAACTTAACTCGACTATCTTAACTCGAGTTGGAAAAATTGCGCGAATTAAAAAGAATTATTAAGATTAAAAGTAATCTTGCAATCTCTGTTCCAGATCAACGTGTTACTGCCAACGTACGGGAAAAAGTTGATGGATGAAAAGGAAATGACGTCTCTGGTGTGCGCGGCACCGCCCGAACACGAGGGCAAAAATCTGACCTCGTTGAGCAATCGAAGCCTACGTTGTCTGGATCTGTATAACGCGAGGCCGGAAAAAGACGCGATGATCCTCGTAGGGATATTGATCGGTATATTGCTCGCAATCCCTGTCTGCCTCACAATCTTCATCTTCTGGCGTCGTGGCTTCTTCTTCTGGGGCGGTTCGGGCCCGGCCAGTTTCTCGCGGGCCTTTTACAAAAGGACCAAGAACGACGAAGAGTTTTGAAGTTTTCCTCTCCCCCCCCCCTTCCTTCCCTCCCCCCCTCTCTCTCACTTCGACGAATCGAGGACGATGAATTTCGAACGATGTACGTATACATCGTAAGGGGTATTTAATTGAAAAGGGAAAAGGCGAGAGTATGGTGAATATGATCGTTTAGATCGGCGAAGAAAATTGTATCAACGGGAAAATTTAGAACGGATATGAATCGATCGAGACTTGGATAGAACCCCGGAAGAAAAGTTTGTATATTGTGGATTTTAATTTATATTTATATTATGTTACATTGATCGTGAGTTATAAGATAAGTTAGCGTATCGAATCGCGTGTATGAGTTTAATAGCATATATTTTTATAATAATATAATACCAATAAATCGGATCTAGAAACCGTGTTAAAAATCACTGTGCGCGTGTACGCACAATTCGATCGATCTTCGAACTCCGTTCCTTCCAATTAATCAACAAACCTGTCCATCCTCTCTCTCTCTCTCTCTCTCTCGAGAAGAAGAAGAAGAAGAAG